CCACTTCACTAAATTCATGAAATCTGAGTCTTTAACCAACCAAAATGAACCTTCACTCATTCTTTTCTTCTCCATCTTGTACAGATATCTAATTCTATCAGAATATCCTAACATCTTCACGGCATTGTCCAAAAGAAATCTATTGAAGAAATCAGGGTCGATATAGTCTATATGACTTATTTTCCCATGCTCATACACAAAATTTCTTATCTCCTAAAATAAAATTCCACCATGATGAAGTCGTCTACTGAAGTACTTTGAATTTTTCCCCGAAAAAACACCAAAAAAAAGGAAGTTAAGCACTGGCCCTTTTCAGTTCGAGCAACGAACATGTGCAGAAGAGATAGTATACAAGCATTACGTTCTAATACAACAAATCACTTAAAATTTTTGAATTTCCCAGTACATGAACACAATCAAATAGGGGAACTTCATAATCATACAACTTCACACCGTAAACCAAAAACAGGGGAAGACACTTACCATACACGGGTTGGGGAAGAGAGCCTCGAATGTGGGCTGCAATGTCCACTGGATGTTCGTCTTCTTCAAAGTCCGTTTCATCTTCTTCGTGGGTTTTTGCAGGCTCCATAGTGGATGGTGAGTGGAAGGAAGTTGCAACTGACGTGTTTGATGTTGAGGAGGGAAATGTGTATAATGACCATGTTGCCCTTCACTTATTTGGGGAAAATTCTTGAAATTATCATTAAAGGGGTCAACTGACGGTTTTGGCTATCAAACAGACAAAAACCATCATTTTGGACTAGCCCCACATATTTTTTAAAAGTTTGGTATCTCCAGTGGCACAAACTAAAGGTTTGGGCAAAGTCTGCTAATAAACGAAAAGTTTGGTGCCTCAGCTGCAATTTTCCCATAAACATTTCTACTCGGCTGGAATTAAACATTTCTACTTGGCTAATCTCCTAATATTCAGTGTTCTAAAAAAGCGTAAAGCGTGGCTAGACGTGAGGGTGTAGTTTCAAGCTTTACGAATCTAGACGAGGCTTAGGAGTAAATTTTTTTTATTTTTAATATTCTTTTAATTTTTTAAACATTTTAGAAATCATTTAATAATTAAAATAATATATATCAACATCTGGAATAATAAAATACTATATTTACTTAATAATTCCTATCGGTAGTCAATTATAATAAAGATTATAATTTGAGATTGATATAGAAGGATACAATTTGTTTTGAGCCCCAATCTATGATTTTACTAATGTCGGCAAAGCTGGAACTCAAAAATTCCTCTGAAGTTTTTCGATTATGGGCATGTTCGGCAAAGATTATGAGAATTTATTTTTTGACCGTCAAAAAGAAAAGTGGGTCCTATCTGTGAGTGAAGAAGTAAAAAATGATGGTTGGAATAGTGAAATAACAATTAAAAAATTGATTTTCTGGAATGAAAAATTGCTACCACGAAATGGGGGCTATATATGTTCCGAGATCTATAGTAACAGTAGATGTGTAACAAAAAAAAAAAAAAAAGAGAATATTATTGTTCATCTCCATGCAATGATCAGTATCAAGTAATTAATTTTCGTCTATCATCTATTTTTGATAATCTTCTGTCAACAAGTGCCTTGGATTCTGTTGACCTAAAAAAGTGTAGCTCCAGGTGGCCAACATATCTCAAGATCTCTCACGTTTGAACAAGCCGTTTTTCTGCACACTAGGACAAACCGTTAGACACTCATGGCTTTCTCCGATGGGGTGGAGCCGACCGCGTGTACTCCAATAGTCAAGTTAGTTGGGGAAGATATATGTGAGTGTGGGAGAACTTTTAACGTGAGCCTCCAATATAAAATAAAGGGGGTCGGAGTCGGGAGTAAAAAATGTAGAGAGCAAAATTATAGTATCTAAGTCTAAATTTGCATTGCCTCTCAATGACACTAAGTGTGAGCTTTTATAGTATGGGATACTGAGTGAGGACTGTCAAATGAGAAGACACGTGACCTCATCCATGTGGACACAACCTCTCATCATGGGAATCAATCACTCATAAGACTTGAATGGTAACATGAACTTGTCTTTTAGAATTCATAGCTTCCGGCTATAGATTCAACCAAATAGGTTGGCAGTGGCGGCGGTGTCAGGGAATAGTCAAATCAGTTATGTCACTATAGTTGATTTAGGAGATCTTTTGTCAATCAACCTCCTTACTAATCTCGTTTCTTTTGCTTGGGTCCCTGTGGGACGGCTCACCTCCACAGGTTTGGATGTGTTGGTTCTAATAGGGATGGGTCCGATTAAGGGGTTCATCCATTCGGTTCGTTACCCCATTGGTTCAGCCGATAAAGGGTGCGGAGTGCCTACGGTTTCGCCTGCCACGTGGAGTGTTTTGGGCCCCTGTTGGGAAAGGGATATAACAGATTCCGTTATTTCCTTGTCGCACGGAACTCTGATGCCACAACTTGAAGCACATATAAATTTTACCTTGTTAATTTTATGTGACTTTCCGTAAACGTGTATACTAATTCATATCTCTTGCATTTAAACTTTCCAGCACATTTTCATTTGTTTAGAGACTAGTAGTAATATGTCGCACTGCTAGCTCAATCCACATAGATTGCCGAGAAAACTCAATTCTTCATTTGGAAAAAGAGTTGAACCAGTGAGTTCCATAATTCAATATGTACTTAAAAGGGACTTAACCAATTCATATTTAACTTCATCTGCATTGATTTTCTTAATTTTTACATTTTTTTGACGCCTTATTTTTTTGTCAGATGGGCTATCATAGCATCCAAATTACTCAGAAGAATAGACAATGGCATCAAGAATTACTGGAACTCACATTTAGGGAAATGGTTTGACATTGTAGGCTCCGACCAGCCTTCATCCTCTTCCAAATGTGTGGTCACTCAATCAGAATCCACATGGCTGAGTGGGAACTTGTTGGACTAGAGGTTGAGGCTCGTCTGTCTAAAAATCCGTCATCTGGGGCTAATTTTGAGGGAGACGCTTTCCTCCGTGTATGGATTTCTGAAGCTGGGAAAACCTTTCAAAACATTAATGCAAGCATTGCATTGGTCAATACATTAGAACAACTACTCGCAGCCTTGCATATCAGACATCATCATTGACAAAAGTTGATTCGGGTTTGGGAGTTAAGATGAATGCTGAACCTTGTAAAAACATCGGATCTGCTATAATGACAGGCCCACAACACGTGGGAATACGAGCAGTTATAAGGAAGTCCTATGATTTCGATGATTCCTCTGATGAAATGCTGAATATATTACTGGATTTCTCGACTACTGGGAATGATTTGGATTTCTTTGAAGACTGACTGAGAGTGTTCTACGCCAAAGAGGATCGTCCATTCGAAGTCTATTACCTTCTCTTAGATCATCGTATTTGATCGAGTTAAATCTCCTGGTTTTATCTAAGAGCTTTCTTGAACTTTTAGTTGTGGCAGAGCAACTGAAATACAGCTTTGAAAGATTTGTTTTGGATGATACTTAATTATAGTAGAAGATAACTATACAACTTTTTCTTATATTCCCTTGAAATGATTCGGTGGTTTTTAAGACAATCAATAGCTCATTCTATCCCCCAAAAAAAAAAACAATAAATAAATAAATAAAATAAAAATAAAAATAAAAATTTAAAATTTAAAAAAAAATTAAAATTGTCTTAAAAACGTAATGAGGTCATGTTTGGTATACAACAATGGACAAAATTCTATCGAGTATTATTATCAAACATGTCGAGAGTTTTCATCTTATATTTGCATCTTAGCATTCCAAATACTGCAAAACAAATTCCTTACAAACTTCAGGTTTTCTTTTTTCCTACTAACAGATACCAACGGTTATGCACACATAATAATAACAACCAATCAATTCTTCGCCAAATGAAAACATATGTTTTCAAACCTATAAATTTACAAATGCAACTTCAGTTTCAAATCAAACCAGATAATTTCAGCTTCAAAAACATCCTAGCAATTTCTTTGGGGAAGTTCCTGTGGCACAGTATTTTGCAGCCATTTCCTCTGCCTTGAGAAGGTCTTCTCCCCGTTTGGCTTCGATCATTGCCTTCTTCTCTTCTGCTTCCTTGTGAATGAGAGCAACCTTGTTCTTCATTTTCTCTACATATTCTGCTTTCTTTTTCTCCAGTTGTTCCTACAGGATTTAGGCATTAAGATTGACCGAAAATAAGGATAAACCTTCAAATTTTGATCATTAAAATTTCAGAACAGAGTAAAACTACGCAAAGAGTTAAGATTTGTTTACCTCAATCTTCTTGAGCTCAGCCTCTAGACTTGCTTTCTTGCTGTTTTCCCATGCTGCAATGGCAGATATCTTCTTCTGAGATCTGCCAATAATATCATATTTCTTGATTTAGTATCGACTCATCAATATTATCCCGTTAATCTTTGGGTCGAATACATGAAATTCAAATAACTTCTACGAGACCTGTGAACTCATTTTAACTGGAATAAGGATAACCTCTAATAAAAGCATAGAAAACGAAAAATCTCTTTACTAGACACATTCCTTAGAAGGTGGGCTCTCGAGTTGTGGATATTTGTCATTGTTCGACTAAGATAACATACACACACACCGAGCATCCTAATGTGACCGAGATTGTGAATATCATGGAGTTATCGCAGCATATTGGCCTTGTAAATATTGTGAATAAGATCGAGTACCAAAATAAACGTTTTTGACAATCCCAAAGAAAGCGATAAAAAGCCAGACTTACATTAGATTCATAATCATACATGTTTTAGACTAGTCAAAATGATTCATTTTCAGAACTCCTTTTGGTTGGATAAATTATCATTGAAAAGCAAACTTAAAATTCAGAAAATCAATGGCAAGAGCAAAGCATGCTCAAGAAAACACTTACTTGTTTTCAGCTTTTGATTTCTCACTTTCTTCCCATGCTTTAATCAAAGACAATCTCTTCTCCGTAGAAACTCGAGCAAGCACAGCATCTGAAGACATATTGAAAGAAAGAACTAATTATTTTCCTGATACATTTACTCGTCACACTTCTCGTAACATGTTTGCCCGTTCTTAAAAAGCCAAGTTTTCTTGACTCGTACGACCCAAATAAGCACATAAAAATATACTTTTAAGTAGGTCAAACTTGCTATAAGATAAAGGAAAAAAACTCAAGAAGTTGTAAGCTTAATTACCTCTGTCAATAGAGCCCTCAGGCCTTTTCTCCTCAACAGTTTCTGGTTCTTTATACAGAAGGAAGAAGGAAAAGTCACAAACAATTGATAAAAGAATTGTCAATAACTAACTTAATATGTTCGTAAGGAATGACTTAAATCATATATCTTGACAAACCTAAACAAATATAAAGAAGATGAATTTCCATGGAAAATTTCCAAGTTGAGACATATCATATAGGTAAAATTCCTTCTTTAAATAGATAAACACAAAAAATCTGAAAATAAAATCAAAAAATACATAGAAAGAGAGGTGGGTAGGGAAGTAAATTACTTTCAACAATAGCAAGAGCTTCACGGTCATCAGCAGCTGGTTTGTCTTCTGGCAGAGGAAGTGGTGGTGGAATTACAGCTTTCTCCTCCGGAGCAGCTTCAACGGTTTCCTCTGTAGCCGGAGGAGGCGGTGTTGGAGCCTCAGAACATGGCTCAGCCTCCACTTTCTTGACTTCCTCCTCCGCCATCACTTCAGAAAACTTAGCTATCTTGTTTGCTTTAACAGATACTACAAGAATTGTAGAAGAAAATTAATAAATAAGCAGAGCGGTGGAAGATTTTGTGGAGAGAAATTCTGCGTGTTTTGTTTTGTTTTGTTTTGCTCGTGGGGTTGGGCAGATATTAGTGTCAGCAATTGGTTGGAGGATCAGCTGGATGATTAATTTGTACAGGTATATATAATAGTGAAACAGTTGGCACAGATTTTCTACATCTGGAAATTTACATTTTTAAGGAATAAAAATTATCAACAGTTCATAATTCTTGTCGGCTTTGGAATCATAATTCATTCGAAAAATCAGTTTGCGTCAAGAGGGTAGTTCCTGCAAATTTCTTTTTTTTTTTAAACAGCATTCGATCATCATTTAATCCATGAATTTAAGAGCAACAAATTTCTTCTAATTCCTTCATGCTCAAGTTAAAAATGACTTTCTAGACAATCAGACACTCGCTTGTAGGATTCAACTTTAATCATTTCATTTGAAAAACCAGTTAGCGTCAAGAGGGTGGTTCTTTTTTCTTTTCTTTTTCCCCTTTTTTTAACAACATTCAATCATCATTTAATCCATGAATTTAAGAGCGACAAAGTTCTTCTAATTTCTTCGTACTAAGTTAAAAATGGTTTCCTAGACAATGAGACACTCACTCGATGAATACTCAATTTGACCTTAATTTCAACTCGATCAGATCAATATGATGTTAATTTGTCTATGTACATACATACAAAAATTCCGAAGTTGAATTTGATAAAAACAGATTTTAAATGAATATTTTTCAACTTTCATATTTTTTTCATCGAATCATAAATATTTTTCTTGATGAAATATTTACAAGAAAATGTGAAAAATTGTTGTTGGATGGATCCATATATTAATTAGAGAGAGCCGTGGAGCAGAAAGAATTGAGATGGCGTTTTCTCTCTAAAATTCAGTAAACAAAGGGGTCCATAGAGCTTCTTCTTTAGACCGTTTCATGTTACTTTACCTTTTACTTTTGAAAAGCACACTCATTTACCGTGTAATAAAATAACCA